GAGTGAGAGAGTGAGGCAGTGAGAGAGTGAGGGAGTGAGGCAGTGAGGCAGTGAGAGAGTGAGGCAGTGAGTGAGAGAGTGAGGCAGTGAGAGAGTGAGCGTGAGTCACTGAGTGAGGCAGGGAGTGAGTCGCCTTGTTGGCTTTCTATGTAAGGCTAAATCCCAGACTTTTTTGGTTTGGTGGTGTCAAAGTTTAGGCATATATATATTTTAAGAACATTCTATTTTTCCTAAGATTAAATCGTTTCAAACTTCTGGACATGCTTTAGTGATTTCTCTAAGCTTCTGGCAATATTTTTTTTTAATCATCAAGATCAGGATTTATATGAATATAAGATTACAGGAAGAAATTCTAAGACAAAAATCTCCTACAAAAAACACTAGGAGTAAACTCATGGCAAAATGGTGTGAGGGTACAGTAGTGAGGGAAAGAGAGATTACAGATCAAACCAACTGTAAAAGGAGATTTAATACTCTTAACTTGTAAAGAAATGGCCACATTAAAAATAGTTTGGAGTCTATGTCAATGCAGAAAAATCTAGCTAGTTATGAAGGATATAGAAATTACTCCTAAACCGGTAATACTTAAACCTGTACTACAATATTCTTATCATATTGCTATGACAGAGAGGTTAAACTTTACCATAGTATTAATAATTTCCTCAGAACTAATTACTTCTAAAATTAAAAGACCACTTCCTATTTTTTTGTGGCATTTTTGTTTTGAACCCTAGGAATGTTTTAAATCATTTTTCCCCCATCAGTTTCACATTTTAGAAGGTACCTGCCCCACATTCTCACTGACCTATTATTTAATACAAACACAAAACAAAGCACAATACCATCAAGTCAATTCTGATTCATAATAATTGATATTGTAGGACAGGATAGAAATGCCGTATCTTTCTCCTAGAATATCTGATGTGTTCAAATGTTTGACCTTTCTATTGGCAAGTGAACACTTTAATCACTGTGCCACCAGGGCCCCCCCCAAATTATCTAAACGCCCACTGTCATCCAGTCGACTGCTACTCCCAGCGCCCCGATAGTACGCAGGAGCGCTCCCCATGCAGGGGTTCTGAGGCTGCGCATCTTTCTCAGAGTAGAATGCCTAATCTCTCTGCGGGAGAACAGCTGGTAAGTTTGAATAGTGGGCCTTATAGTTAGCAACCCAATAAGCCCACTGCACTACTCTTCATCAAAAATTCACTGCCCCCGAGTTGATTCCAACTCTTAGAGCCCGCTAGGGCAGGGTAGAACAGCCCCAGTGGGTTTCCAAGACTAACCCTTCACCGCAGGAGAAAGCGCCTATCTGTCCTGCAGAGCTGCTGGTAATGTTGAACTGCTGATTCTGTGGTTAGCAGCTCAACACATAATTCAATCCCAACAGACCCTGTGGCTCACCATTAGACAGAGCTCCCCTTCTGTGGGTAGCAGGTGCTGTTCTCCTCACAAGACTACTAAGTAAAAGCCGTCTCAGTCATCAGTGACCTTACTTCCTCACTGAGGAAAGAACGTAAACAAACATATATAAGCACCAACAAATTTCATGAGTGAAAAAAGGAATTTTAAAAGTGGAGATAAAAAGTGTATTTCAAGAGAATGGTCTAGAAGGTCTCTGAAAAATCAATATTGAAATGGAGAGAAGTCTAACTAGTGATAGAGAATCCATATGAAAATACAGGGAAAGTGAGAGAAAGCAAAGGTCTTGAGGTGACAATGAACTTGATATGGTTACAGATCATGAAGGTCGATAGGTAGCTATCAGCTAGATCCTGAATGCACTTGAAAGCGTTTGCTGAGAACTGTGGGTGGCTTTCAAACGGGAAGGCAAACTAGTAAGAGTTTTCAGCAGGGGTTAACCTGGGCGCTATGAGCTGAGGGTTCGGGACAAAGCACAAGCACAGAGACTCAGTGCGTGGCACAATCTTGTTGGCCGTGACAGCGGAGGCGAGGGTGGCCTGACTTAAAAAGGGTAGGTGGTAGTGGTAGAAAAGTTTTCAAATTATAAATATAATTTTGCTGGAAGGCTAGATGTGGAGTTTGAACGCTAAAAGTCAAATATGACTCTTGGTTTCTGATCTGAGTAAAGACGCATGGGAATGCCAATAAATCAAACCGGAACTTGCAAAAGAAAGAAAGTAAATGCAAGCAGCAGCAGGACTTTGCTTTGGATGTCACCTGAGACATTCCAGTAGAGAATGGAGACGCTGCAACTTGAGACATCAGCCTTTAGAATTAGATGGTATGTCAGACCAGCTTTTAAATAGACTGAGATCACCTCAGGAATGGGCACGAACAGAAGAGGCCTGAGGACGGAGCTGGAGCCCAGCTTTGTGAGGAGGAGCAACATGCGGCGCATACTGCTGCTGAGTTGATCGACACACAGGGACTGCACAGCACAGAATAGATCTGCTGCTGGGGGGTTCAAGTCTGCACGTCTTTACAGGAGCTGGAAGACGCACCTTTCTCTCTTAGAGAAACTGGTGGCACTGAACTGTTGACCTTTTAATGAGCAGTCCAATGGTAAGCCACTACGCACCAAGGCTCCCTGGATTTAGCACAGGAAATTTAAATGTGGGGCCCGCAACCTACTAAGAAAATTAGAAATGGTCAATGACTTCTATACCAACAGAAAATCTTGCAGAAGTTGTGTAAGATTCCATGTGATTATTTGTCTTAGCAATTTGAAAGTCAAGCAGGAGTGAGTACTTTGAATTGAGTGATGGGGGAAAAAAATGAGGAAATAGACAAAAAACCTGAACACCCCCCAACTATCAGGACTCCAATTCTGCCTTGCAGACCTGGTTAGACCAGATGATGCACAGCGATACAGATGGGAATTGGAAACACAGGGAATCTAGGATAGATGAACCCCTCAGGACCAGGGGTGACAGGGACGATACCAAGAGGGAAAGGGGGTGTAGAAAGGGGAAATTGATCACTGGGAGCTACATATAACCTCCTCTCTGGGGGACGGGCAGCAGAGGGGTAGGTGTAGGGAGACGCCGGGCAGTGTAATATAAGATATAATAATAGTTTATAAATTATCAAGGGTGCATGGGGGAGGGGGGCAGAAGAAGGGAATAAAGGAAAATGAGCTGATTCCGGGAACCCAGGAGGAAAGCGAATTTTGGGAATAATGAGGGCAACAAATGTATAGATGTGCTTTACACAACTGATCTATGTATTGTGATGTATTGTATGAGCCCCAATAAATTGATTAAAAAGAAAAAAGAAAATGGAAGACTAAAGGAAAACAACAATTTGAATTGTGTTATTGATGAAGAATATTGAATATACGCCAGAACAAAAAAAAAACCTGAACAAATTTTACACTTATAGAAGTTAGCCACAGAGGTGGAAAGGATCTAACATGGATTGACTCCTTCGCTTACTGTCCAGGCACTATGCCAAGCAGTCTCATAAAATCTCATTTAACTTTTAACAACTTGAATTTGTAGGTATATTTGTTTTAAAACTGAAAAACGAGATCCAGAAGAGTTAAATTAATGTGTTATTTGCATTCAGATCTATCTGGTTCTAAAATTCTTCTGTTGCTTTGTCATTTGAGGACACGAAGTTCTTACAAACTACAAAGAGGAATTGCTTTCTACTTCAGCGTTCCCAGTATTACAAAAAATATTTTCCTCCAGATTCCTTCACTTTTGTGTTACAATTATTAAACTTTAGAAACTTAATTTTGCTATTAAATGCTTCATAAATCCGTGATAGTGCTGTCAAGTCCGTGTTGGACTGCTAACAACATGGGTGGTGGTTCAAACCTACTAGTCATTCCTTGCAGGAACCATGAGTCTAGCTGCACTTACAAAGATTTACAGCTTTGGCAACCATCCAGGGTGACTGTGAGATGAAGCCACCCCAATGGCAGGGAGTGTATGAAATCCCTGTAACACAAATGCCTACCAGGACCAAGCCGGGAACATGAATAAAGCAAGGGTCAAGGTGGAAAACTTCAGAATACATGGCCCGGTCTACAAAGAACAGCTGCTCCAGCAAGTGATTTTGCCAGATAATTTTATTTTTAAGACAAGAAATCCACATTTTTTACACAAAATGACCAGATTTTTTGGACCTTGAGAAAATTTCTCGAACATTGCTAAGCCAGTGGGAACCATTTGTAGGCCACGCCTGGCCTTTGAGTAGCCACTAGTTTATGGCCTTTGCAGGGAGTAAGTATCTTTTTACACAGTGTGTACACAGGGTCACTACGAGGCAGAACCAGCTCAATGGCACCTAGCAACCACCACCAGCAAACCAACGGGTGTCTTCAGAACTATGTAAGGCATGCTACAATGTCACTGGGGCGTCAATGAAGCGCAGTTTCTGAAAACTAATCCCAAGTACAGCTTGCTAGCTACAAGAATGACAAAGCTGAGCAGGACATAGTTACATGATAAAGAAACTTGATACACAGTTGGGGTGAGCACACAACAAACCTTTAACAAAGCACAGTAGGTGCGTACCTGAAACCGAGGGAAAACTTACTGTCCCAGGCGAAAGATAGGTCACACAACTGCTAGTTTGGGAAATGTAGATTAAAAAGGATGGATCCAAAATTATTCCACTAACAAAGCAAAGCAAAACAAAGTAATACAAACAGAACTGAACTCCACACACAGGAAAAAAAAAGTTAAAGCTCTGAGACAAATTGCAAATCCGATAGAGAATCACAGCAAACGCACCAAGGCCATATCCCTCATACTGCTGTCGCTCCCGCTCCATCGTCTGCTTGATAACCATCTCCCGGGAAACGTGCCGCCGGCCCTGCCTGTCTTTGATGCTGTTGTGTAACTCAATCTGCTCCAACTCACTGCTGAAGCGATTTAAATAACTGAAAAATAGGGAAATGGCATCGTTACAAAGTCTGTACTTCATTAAACACTTAGTTCCCTGCCTTTGTCACTTTTTCTCTTTCTCTTAGGTCCTGAATTCTCCAATCTCTTTACCCTACCACTGGATAACACAATTATTTCCAAAGTTTCAGGGACCAAATCACTGCCGACTACCAAAACCTCAGTTACCGAGTGGATTACAACTCACAGAAAGCGCATAGGGAAGAAGAGAACTGTTGCTGTGGGTTTCCGAGACTGTAACTCTCTCCAGGAGTAGGATCCCTCATCTCTCTCCCTCGGAGAAGCTGGTGGTTAGCCGCCCATGCGGTTAGCAGCTCAGGACATAACACCACCAGGGCTCCAAAGTATATGTTAATTCCAGGCCCTTACACTGTGCAACACCTCCCGATGAATCTTCGCCTTTAGCATAGCAACCCAGAACCTGTCATCCATTCCCTTGCTTCCCTCCACCCCCTACAAGGCTATTCCATTTCTTGGGCTCCTGAGCTCAGGAAAGGATGTGATCGTTCATCGCATTAAGATGGTCAGTGCCCCCTTGACTTTATCTGACATCTCACCTTTCACTAAGAGCAAGGCTTCCACCTTCTTAATATTCCCAGACTTCATTTCTTTCCAGCCCTGTTACTAATCAAGCAAGGTCGCCAACATTTCTGGTTTGGGCTTCTACAAAGCCTCTCTACCATCCCCTGGATAAAGGCATGCTCCTTTCGGACATTTTCCTCTCTCTAACTACTGGACCTAGCATGCAAATGCAGCCATGCTAGGTGCTTGCCATAAAATCTACCCACTGTTTCCAGTACCTTCCAGCACAAAGTCTTAACTCCTAACTTGGCATTTGAAGTCATGCATGAGGTGGCTGGTACTTTTTGTACCTGCCACCCTTCCCTCCTGAATCCTGTTATTATGGTCAGAGTAAATGTGCTTCCTTAGCTCTCCCTCCAAGTCTTTCAGACATTGTCTCCACTGCAGAAAGGCTCTTCCACCTCTGTACTCTCTATCATATTCAAGTCCCTTCCCGTCAGGTGTCAGTTTAGATAAGATTTCTCCCAGAAAACTGGGCTAACACTGTGCGTCTAAAGTAGCTGAGCCAAAATACGGATCCAAAGTCTCTCTCAGATAACAAAGCCCGTTTTCTCCTCCTCAAATCGAGAACAGAATTCTGGCTTTTAAAGAACGTAGCTGCAGAATTCCCTTTCTAACTCTTTGTTCAGAATATACCCATGGTTTACCTTTCAATTAATGCACAAGCATCTTTCTTTGAATATTCTTTTTTGGCATCAAGATGATTTTGAAACCACTGTAGTTTTTCACCTATAAATAACAAGTACCAAGATAGTTTAATATTACCATGAGTCATTAATAAAGCAAAGAGGTATTCTCGAGGATGAAAATTCATTTCAATATTAAATATAAAGACTGTGTAGCTTCAAAGACAATGAACCAGTCAGTCAGATATTAAATTGTCACATTTTAACTAGGGAAGAGATAGGTGGAAGGGTGCTTTTCTGTACATGTTTCTTATGAAAAAGTGAATGCAAAACAAAATAACAAACAACAGAACATGAAGTCCTAAGTAGAACATGTCTAAGGTAACTAGGTATTAACAGGAGACAGGGAAGCTTGGTCACATGAGTAGTAAGCAGCAGACAGCCTAATAGGTACTGCACAGCCCTGGGAGGGTCAGTACTCTTATTATCCCCTTGTTACAGAGGACGAGTGGCCACAAAGTCAGTAAATACATTAATCTGCCGGATCCTAAATAAGAAGTTAGTAGGCTATATTAACAAAGGACTGATGAACCTTTTCCCTACACGTAAATCTAAGTAATGGAATCTCTTCTAGTTAGACTTCCTAATATTGCAGATCAAGAAATGGTCCTATTCAATATTCAGACACCCCACTTTGAAATACTATTACCTGATAATGCTTCAGATATAAGGCTTAAAATACTTCCAACTTTAGCAACTATATATGTATTTTCCCCAACAGTATCAGAAAACTGAGATAAAAATCATTAACAGTTTATTTAAATGTATGTCGATGATCATTTTGGACTTTAAAAATTGATTTAATCAAGTTTCTTAAATAAACATCACTTAGGTAACAATAGTATCTCAAAGGAGGGGCAGAATAGAGCAGAACTTCACTATACTGTAGCCTGATTTCAAATTAGTACGTCCACTTACCAATAATGTTGAGACGCAAGGCTTTCTCATTCTTCATTCTTAGAAGAAAACACAAATCATGTTAGAAAATTTCAAAAGCAATTTACAAAAATTTGTCATACACAACTAATCAGAAAACTCCTTTGAAAGCTTTAATTCAAAGATCAGTCTTTTAAACTTACAAATTAATTTTTTAACATAGAAACATTGTCTAAAGTGTTGCTATAAACTTTTTTTAGCTCTTTAATGAATAAAAGTAGTCTATAGAACAAATCAGTTTTATTTCACAGATGAAAGTGTTACTGAATTAAGAATGAGTATTAGGTGGATTTTTTAGTGAAATATGCATAATAAATGTGCACAAAAGAGTAACAGAAAATTAATACCTTTTATAATTCTGAATGTTGCCCAAATGAATTACTGTTATCTTTTGGACTTCAAAATAACAAGATGAATTGCATGGGATATGACTTTGAATTATGAAAGAGTTATAACAAAGAAGTAACTCATTAATTTTCAAAAAGCAGTCTAGGAAAGACAAGCTTTTTACAAGTGATATTGTAATCATTCAAAAGCTGCCTGAGGCTGGCAACTCTCTGTCAGAATTTACGCTCGCCCTTGGAGATACGGCGGGAACAAAAGGTCAGCTGTGCCCGTACTAGCAAAGCTGAACAGTTAGAGGCAACAAGAACATGGGGCCATCTTTTAAAAGTACCTATAGGACATCTTAAAAACGGACAAAGTTTTCCACAGAAAGTAACATTTAAACTGACACTTCAACCTGCAGAGACAAAAACATTTGGGACAAAAAAGGGATGGGAGCATAAGAGTGAAAAAGAAAATGATTTTACCTAAAAGAAAAAGCTCTACATAGAAGAGATGTCACATGGCTTCTATCCATAAAAGAATAAGCAAACCTGACTTATCTTTCTGCTTTAAGCAACTAGAAAATTAGACAAATAAAATGAAGCTTTTGAAATAACAGCTTTTTGGTCACAGAGTGGAAGGGAATATTTACAATACAAATAACTAACAAAGAATTTGTATCTAGAACATACCAATAGCTTTGACTACTCAAAAAACTGAATTGTCTGATAAGTGAAATATATGCCCATAAAACTCTTTTTTAAAATAGACAAATCAATCAAAAAAGTAAGATTTGAACAGCTGCATCATCAAATGCATGTAAATGTCCAATAAGCACATAAATAATGCTAACAACATGAGTCGTCAAGAAGTGCATATTAAACCACAGAGATCCCACTATACATACACCTATATCAGATACAATTGGACTCAGTGTGTTTTCATTTATATGTACGATAGATGATTGATGATAAGTCTAAGTGTGATTTCATCAATGTCTGGAAATTATATAAGTATATATGGCTAAATTGTGTACAGGTGCCAGGTTGGCAGAGTTTATTGTGCCAGCTAAATTGTGTACAGGTGCCAGGTTGAAAGAGTTTATTGTGCCAGCCTGGCCGATAACACAAGTGGGATTAATTGAAGGGCGGAGAGATAAATGACTCCGTGAACCTCGCGACTTTCTTGTCTCTCACTCTTTGATCGCTGGACCAGTGTGCGGCTGCCTTGCTTGTTCTGTGCCTCAATTGACAGGCTACACTACCTGTGGGACGCGTACTCTGTGGACTGTCTGTATGTTGAGGTCCCTTTAAGACCACACGATTGAAATTTACATCTCTGGAGCTGAGGACTGACAGTTGGTGACCTGCCTGCTGTTTTGCTGCCCGTGCTGGGATAGCCTAGCTCTCTCTCTACAGAGAACTACCGGATGGCCCTCAAGACTTGAAGGACTGCTAGTGTCTCACAACTCTCTCACGGGAGTGAG